TAGTGTGACTACAAACCATCACAAATGTTAAATTTGACAAACTGCATCACTATAACAACACAAGTAACCATGGGGTTAGTTTTCAAGTACTGTGACATTTGGTGTGCTTGACTTCCAAATATAGTGACCTTCAAGTGTACAGACCTAAATAAAAAATCAATTTAGTTAGTACGGAAAATGGATTTTTTAAGTACGAAAAAGTATGATTAAAAATAATAAATAAATAAAATAAATATAATCTGAAATAAATATAATCTCATTGTAAGTTGCTAATAGTCATCTTCATGTAATGCTTGGATGGGTTAGGATTTGATGTTTCAAGTGAACGAAATAAGGAAATTTGCCCAATAACATCTACACATGTTTAATTAAAATATAATAAATAAGATTAAGTTAAATACTAACATACTAACATGTATAATAAATTACACAAGTTATAAAAGTGAATGGAATAAAATTAAACAACTAACCAAAGAATGAGTATCTTGGGCAATTTTGTTCGATGATCTAATTAAAATCAACAAACACAAACCATTAACCGGACCTAAAAAATCCTCACATTTGTTTAGAATACTTTTCCAATCCAAAGTTATGGTTTGTTTCTGACCGGTAACACTAAACCATTTCTCATAGCCGCCATGTTGGGTTTTAAAATGATATAAGTTTGACCTTCCTTTAAAAGATCACCAAATTTGGAAAAATTTTGGTTGAAAACATGATAATGGTATTTTGTACCCTGTTAAATCAAATAAAAAAAATATTTTTATTGATTGAAACATATGTAATATTTAGTAGGTTTAAAAAAAATATAACCAACCTCCTCGTCCATGACTATCATTTCAATCGATAAAACCATATTATTCTTTAAAAAATTCCACATCTTTAAGACCCGTACTTTGAGATGTGAATCATCAACAATCTGTTCAATGTCTTTTAGGTATACTTTGTTACCTATATTCATTTCTTGCATACAATTGATAGCATATTGAAATTAATCCCAATTTTGCCCTTTCCATTTCAATTGAAAGCACATGATTGAATAGCAAAGTACTTTCATTTAATGATAAAATAGCAATATATTATAAAATTTTTGCAGATACTGTTTAAATCTTAACAGAAATAACTAGTATTAACTTCTTTTTATAATTAAATAATTAGTATTAATTGTAGACAATTGAAGACATATTCAAATTAATACCCATTTTGCCTGTTTCATTATAATTGAAAGCACATGATTGAATTTAGATGTACTTTAATAGCAAAGAACATCTATATTCTATCATGTACATCTATTATTTGTATTTCATTTGCTGATATATAGACACACTAACACTTACATATACATTCACATACAAAAAAATAGATGTACATATACACATGGTAACAGATACATATACAATGTTTAAACCATTCACATAAAGCGTGACTATAAAATAATTTTTTAAAGAAATCGTCCCATTCTATTTAATGGAGCTTTAAAATGAAAAAATAAAAAAATGGTATGAAATACGAATAATAGCAAAATACTTTCATTGGGTTACAATAATAACATAAACTGTTTGAATCAATAACAACAATATATTCCATCGATATTACAAATGTATACATATACATTTCACAATTACATAATACAAATATACACATACACTAACAGTCACAAATACATTCACATACAAACGGATAAATGTACATATACACACGGTAATAGATACATATACAATGATTAAACCATTCACATAAAGAGTGACTATAAAATCATTTTTTTAAAGAAATCGTCCCATTAATGTTGAAC